GGGGGGGGGGGGGGGGGTTTGGAAGAGAACTAGAGCCACATTTTTATATAACAGTTCATTGTAAACTGGCTCGTGTGAAATGAGGGCACCAAGAGTAACTCTAATAATGTTATTTAAAATAGTTACTTAAAATATATTTAAATATTGTATTATTGATTTTAATTAATTATTTTTTCAAATACACCCTAATATTGTTATTTATTTTAATTAACAACTTCAACTAACTTTCAATAATAAAATTTAAAAAATAGTAATTTAAATATACATTGTATAAATTTAATCAATTATAGAAATTTTGGAAGGATTTTATTGAATTTTGAGGGGGAGGTTTGCTGAATTTTAATCAACTCATCGTCTTTCCCATTCAGAGAGAGAGAGAGAAAGAAAGAGAGACCATACAGATTAATACACAGGAAATCCAACAAACATGTCACAATAACACAAGTAGAATGCATTCCAACAAGTCAATTACAGTGCGTCGATAAATAAAATCACATATTACTTGGAATTGGTTGCTAAACGTCGGATTTGAGTTAATCTATGTTGTTCTCTGTCGCCAATGAGATCCTTTGCTTCACAGAATCAAAGAAGAGAGGCAGAAAACAGTTCAGAGGGGATGAGGGTAATGGTGGAATGCCAAGAGAGTTAATGAGAGGGGAGGGTGAAGAAAGGAGAAGAGAAGAGAGAACAGGTGAATATGAGGTATATCTGTTTCTAAGAGAGACCACACCTGCTGAAGCCTTCAGTCGGTGGTGTAGATTACATTGTTGGCGCAAAAAATAGACTATCAGGCTGCTTTGCCTCACCAGCTAGCCAAATGGAAACTATGAAAAATATTTAGTGTAATAACTAGAGTTCAGTTCTATGGTCTAACTATATAAAAAAGCTAAGAAGGCCAGTTTATTGAGCCTCGGAGTTGTTCCAATGTTGAGCTTGTGGTCATGCAGCACCAGGAATTGGATGAGGCCATCTAAATTACTTTTGACAATATCATTTCTTATTTTTTTTTTCTAATTAGGGGTGTCTATCGGGTGAAATTATGTTATCTTTCATATATGTTTTATTATATAGATTTCGAGTTTTGTCGTGATTAGTCAATCTTAACTTGTTTTGTTTGATTGTGTTAAAATGTCTTGATATTTTAATGGTATATAACGTGACAATTCATATTATTGATCTTTTATAATAGCAAAATTAGGTGGATAACTATCAAATTTTATATGAATCCAAAAATAAAAAATAAAAGATTAAATAATGAAATAGATTTTGTCGCGTCTATTATTTGTATTTGATATTAATCCAATATATTTATTATCCAGGTTGATAAATTTGTGTCGACCATCGACAAACTCTAATAATTTTTATATCTGTTTTGCATATAAATAAAATTATCACAAAAATTCGAGAATGCAGATTGAAAAAGACCAACTCTTATGTATTAGATTAAATCATTTTTTAGTAAAAAAAAATACAGCCATTAAAAAAAATTGAAATTTACACATTCTAAACCGGCGACCTCGTCTGGTGAATCCTGTTCAACACCTCAACGATAAATCATGTAACAGCAACACACACACACACACACACACATCGTCTCTCTCTCACGCTGAAATCACTCATCACCATATTAGTTTAAGTGGCCCCACTTCATTCAAACGTCGACAATTCCGCCCTCATTGCCCGCCATTACCTTTCAGATAACAACGCCCCACTGCCCGATACATATATATATATATATATATACAGATAGATACACAATGCGTAGCACTTACCTCTTTTCTCTTCACTACTACTTCACATTCTAATCTCGCTCCTTCCTCTTAACAAATCATGGGCAAAATCAAGATTGGAATCAACGGTATATTGATCTTTATATCTTCGTATCGTGTTCTTCATTTGATTACATACACACGCAAATAGTGTTTATCTTCAATTGGATTTCGACGTTGATCTGATCGATATGTTGTTTCCTTGTTTGTGTATAGGATTTGGAAGGATTGGCCGTCTGGTGGCGAGAGTTGCTATGCAGAGTGATGATGTTGAAGTCGTTGCCGTTAACGATCCGTTTATCACCACTGATTACATGGTAAAGAAGTACATTTCTCTAAATCACTATTCAAGTATAGCAGCACCACATTGTAGCCACTGGCCCATAATGTTAGGTTTTTGGATCACTATATTGTAGTGCCAAGTTGAACCTGTTATATGCTCTTTAGTTTAAACCTCTGATCCGAACCTTATCATTGTTTTTGTCTAAACAGTACATCTTTAGGCTGTACTTCAATCGCTTGTGTAGTGATCAGTGAAATAAGATCTCTGAAACAAGTTCCATGATGAATATAGGGGTTTTTTTTACGTATGTAAGTGAAAATTCTATACCCACCACTGATTTTGCATCATTTGTTGCTTCCATTGAAGGCAATGGGTGCACCAAATCATTCAAACGAGTGGTGGCTATAGGATTTTATTGCGCACACATTTTTATACATGTGTATTTAGTGGAATCTCAGAGACCTGTGTAGATCGAAGACAGATTGCATGTGTGATTTTCATATTCTAATTTCTCCAGGAAATTGACGACAAAAATAAAATGGAAAAATGACAAAAAGATTGTAATTCAAGAAGGCTATGTAGCTTTACATGAATGAATGTTCTGCTTACAAGGTCCCCACAGTGAGCTCACCTGGTGGGGTAGTTGTTAAGACATATCCACATCTTGCTAACAATGATTTTGATGTTGTGTTGCATAGACCTACATGTTCAAATACGACAGTGTTCATGGCCAATGGAAAAAGCATGAGCTTAAGATGAAGGATTCTAAGACCATCCTCTTTGGTAACAAACCTGTCACTGTCTTTGGTGCCAGGTATAGCTTGATTCCCTAATTTTGAATTCTACATCAAAGAAGTGTGATCTTGGATTAATATTGTGTATTTTGTTTGTTATAAATAGGAACCCGGAGGAGATTCCTTGGGGCGAGGCTGGAGCTGATTATGTTGTCGAGGCCACAGGCGTATTTACTGACAAGGACAAAGCTGCTGCCCACTTGAAGGTTCCTTTTGATTTGCTCACGTTTTTTTTTCCAATCTGTTTTCTTTGTTCGTAAAAGTAACCACAAAATCTGATCATGTCCTATCTGTTAAATGATTTGCTCTTTTGTAGAGCAAACGCTAGTTGGGGTTAATATGTATGCCATATGGATATTTATATCCATCTTAGCTTGTTTTGCTTGTGTGGCAGCTTGGAATTGGAATCTGAAAAGAACCAATTCAACCGTTTTAACCCGGTTGCAAGCTGCCCAATAGAACATAAGTTTTGTAGGTTTGTGAAATTCTTCATTGTCATTCATGATAATACTACTGCAACAAATTGTCATTAAACTTTTCTGGTTCATGTGTGCCAGGGAGGTGCAAAGAAGGTTATCATTTCTGCCCCAAGCAAGGATGCTCCCATGTTTGTTGTGGGTGTCAATGAGAAGGAATATAAGCCAGATATTGATGTTGTTTCCAATGCTAGTTGCACCACCAACTGTCTTGCTCCATTGGCCAAGGTTTCTTTCATACTTTATTTTGTTGCTCAGGTCACACTGGACAGATATGCCCTCTACTTTTGTGAAATACTAAATTTTAATCTGATGCTTCCGGAACACAGGTTCTTCACGACAGATTCGGCATTGTTGAAGCTCTTATGACAACTGTTCACTCTATTACTGGTAAGGACGTCTTCATTTATCATCAAGTTGTTTTAGGAGATATGAACTATGGTCTAATTTATTGTTTAATGTCATTCAGCAACACAGAAAACTGTTGATGGTCCTTCAATGAAGGACTGGAGAGGTGGAAGAGCTGCTTCAGTCAACATCATTCCCAGCAGTACTGGAGCTGCCAAGGTATTATGACTGCCTGACTGGGCATTTTTGGAACGAATTGAACCTTCGCTGTACGTTCGTACTATTTGTTAAAATTTTTCTGGAGTACTTCTGATCAATATATGGTTATGGAAGTGATTATGTGTTATGTTTTATAACTATCTTTGGAAAGAACTTTTACTCTTAAATTTCTCCTTTAGTTAGTTGATTAGACCTCCAAGGGCTAGCTTTTTTACATTTGTTAGCTAAAATAAATAGTCAAACCACAAAATTTTACTCTAAGGGGCTAGCTATTTTGCCTTTGGCTAAATGTCTCTCTACATTTAGAGAGCCTCTTTGGCTAGCTATTTTACATTTGGAGAGCCAAATCACTCTTTTTGCACTCTAAGGGGCTAGCTATTTTACATTTTGATGACGTGTCAAGCTATACAATATTTTTAACTTAAAAAATTAATAGTAATTAGCTAAAATAGAGAGTATAGTTGAAATAACTTTGTAAAAGTGATTATTTAAAATAAATATTTTGACTAACTATTTTGAAGAGCACCCTTGGAGATGTACTTGTTTTTGTGAAACACGGAAGATTTACATTGTGTACTTTTTGCGACAATAAAATTTTTTTTAGAAAGCTCCACCGCCCTGATCCCTTCCTCTTCATTTTTCAAGGTTTCTTTTTTAATGTTCATAACATTAGCCATATACATTTATGCTTAATTATGGTTTATTAAGCTTCACATTTGTACTGTAACACGAATGACATCTCATGGTAATTCTTATAGGCTGTAGGGAAAGTTCTGCCGTCACTAGATGGAAAGCTGACTGGGATGGCTTTCCGTGTTCCCACTGTTGATGTTTCGGTGGTTGACCTCACTGCCAGACTTGAGAAGGCGGCCTCATATGATGAAATAAAAGCTGCTATCAAGTAAGATCAGGAACTCTGCATTTAGCCTCACTTCATGCTTGTGGATGTTATCTGTCTGCACCATGTCATATTCATTCCAATTTCCATGTAATGAAGAAAAAAAAGCACCTTATATACCCACCCTGACCTCTTTAATTTTTTGTAGGGAAGAGTCTGAGGGTAAATTGAAGGGAATCCTTGGTTACACTGAAGATGACGTGGTGTCAAGCGACTTCTTGGGTGACTCCAGGTGGTACCTTGTTATTCTTCTCTATCAATTGTGTTTTCAAGTAATTTTGCACAATTGAGTTTTCTTCTCTCTCCCCCCCCCCCCAAAAAAAAAAAA